TTATGTTGTCTGTTTTTTAGGTGGAAATGTTAGGGTTACCGAAATGATCGGACTTTATTCTATAAGATAAAGGGACCCCTGTTCAAATTTTGTACCAGTTCACCCAATTTTTTTCTATTTGCCTGTGTTAGATGACTAACCTGTATTCTTCACTATGTCCCTGCAGATTCATTGAGAAACCTGCAATCGGTGAACCACGGTCCTCGTTCTTCACCTGCCGAATTCAGCAACACCCACCACCTCCTCAGGGAACGCAAGTCGTCCGCCCCCTCCCATTCCAGCCAGCCTACCCTGTTCACCTTCGAACACCCTTCCAATCACATTCACCAGACAACCTTATCTGCCAGCGCTCCCCAGGATTACCTCTTCCTACACCAATGTATGAGCCGCAAAGCCGAAAATATGAGGTGAGCTCCTTATCTCTTGATGTATCGTGTGACCCCATTCTGTCATTCAGGATATCTAGTTCATGGTTCACCTAGACAAAGCCAATGGATGGTACAAAAGGGTTGCCAAACCTGGAGCCAACCGTCTCTTTAGAAAGTCCCATCCCGCCACTGCCACCGTTCATTTTGCTGGAAAGTCCACTGTGCAGTAAAAAGTCTTAAAGTATATCTAAAACCAATGTAAACTAGAACACTGTCTGTCCTAACAAAGGGTAAAAGATTGAGAAACTTGGCTTCTTGCATTGTATGTAATGAGGTCAGTCTGTTCCCCTTCATCATGGGGACAGACTCAATTTGAAATTGTTCAGAGTAGCTTGCGGTCTGCCCAAAGGCCTCCTCCAAAGAATCATCTACAAGGTAAGATATATTATTTTTACATATTGTTATGTGTGTTGCGTGGTAACACATAACAAACATACAGTGGGGTGTTCTCAAATTTGACTGCGTACATGAACATACACTTTAAGCCAATGCAAATACAGACTTTCCACAAGTCGTAATTTGCATAGGAAGGTCTGCATGGTCTGGAAGTTCTGTGCAGGTTTATTTTTCATATGATAGAGATCAGGGACGTGTGGTCAGGGGAAGCAGGTGAGGCAGAGCCTCACCTAGTATCATGGAGTAAAAAGCTGTCAGCTTCACGTCTGAAGCTGACAGCTTTTTCTCCATTCAGATTGGCTTCTATCAGGTTACACAGCAGGGAGCCATTGGTCCAAGCTGTCCAATCAAAAAAAACAAAACACTGAGGCCATCGATCTCAATGCCTCAGCAGTGACGAGCAAGTGAGGGACAGGAAGGCTCCTCCCTGTCTCCTCCCTTTCTCCTTCACACTAGCTTGGGGACCAGGTTGGGGGCGGGGGTCTGCCGGCAGGGGTGGAGCTGGACGTGCTGGGGCAAGGTTGGGGAATGCCTCACCCGGAACCAGGGGTACCGCACGTCACTGATAGAGATGCAGTTTGGTATATTACGCAGCATTGGCGGGGCCGGCCTGAGGGATAAGCAGAAGAAGCTACTGCCTTGGGCAGTTCAGTGGGATGAGGGGTGCCAAAAGGGTAGAACCAACCACAGCTTATAGGGGGTAGGGGTGCACTTTAGCTTTTTTGCTTTGGGTGCTAGCAGTTACTTCATTTTACATAACTTTATTCATACTACACGTTTGCTTCAAAGCTGAATTGTTTTCTTATAGAAATGTATGGGTTTTAATATTTTGATTGACTCTGTTCCAGAAGTGCCAGCTTCTCCCAAGCCACCAGATCCTCCTTCTTCATGCGTAGTGATACGGCTGTGCAGAAGTTGGCCCAGGGATACGGACACTGCATGAACGGGGTCAGCGGCCAGGTCCATGGCTTCTATAGTTTACCAAAGCCGAGTCGGCTCAATTCCGAGCTCAGAGACAGTGCCTACGACCTCCCGCGGAGCTTCGGCTCAGACACTCCAACCAAGTCGAGCCTCACCGGGCTGGAATCTGAAAACGAGGACGTTTACACCTACAAAACACCTAGCAACGCCCTTTGTAAAGAGTTTAGCGACCTTTCGACGGACTCGTGTGACCTTCCCGGGACGCCGCTTTCCGTTTATCAAATCCCAAGAACTTTCACCTTGGACAAGAATCACAATGCTTTGGCGTCCAATGACTTCCATAATGCTCCTCCTCCGAGGCCCCCCAAGCCGGGGCAGCCGGAGACCCGCTGGGGAAGTCCTCAGCAGCATAACGGGGACAGTATTGGTGTTGTTTCCGTCAACATTCCGAGGAGGAACACCTTACCAGCCATGGAGAATCGACGCCATCGAGGTAAGAACCATGTTTATGCACATTTGGGTTGTTACCGAATAGCAAGCAGGCCTTCCGCAAGACAGGTTTTTGGGCCCCCCTGTGTACCAACTTGCCAATTAAAAAGACATCCACTGTGTTTTGAAAAACAGCTAGTCAGAAATAAGTCTGCATGACAGTGAGAGGGATCCCGGCTCCAATTTGACTCATTTCTAGTAAAAATTGACCCACTAAGTCCCTGAGGGCCCTTGTGCAGTCTCAAGGTTTGTCACCTTGAAAAATGGGTCTGCGTACTCTCAAAACTTTGTGCTTTTTCTGATATGGAACTTCAGCAAATGGTCATCTTGGAAGTTCAGTTGCAGTGCCGGTCTTTTTCTAAGTTGGGATCTACACAGTGTCGCCATTTGGCCAACCATCCACCCCTACAGATGGGTTATAGAGGTTTGTGTGGTGTGGTTTGATGTACTGCATATACAAGTGATATGCCAGGTTATTACCTTGCATCGCCAACCCCCTGCAGCAATTTTAATGCTCAATTATTATTATTATACAGAATTTATATAGCGCCAACAGTTTGCGCAGCGCTTTACAATATAAGGAAGACATTACAATTCAAGACAAGATGGTAAGAAGGAGGATCTGGTGGCTTACAGTCTAAAAGGGAGTGGGAAATGACACATGATGAGATAGCTGTGTGGGGATGAATTGTTTGAGAATGTGATGGTTGAGTGGTTAGGTTGATGTGGGATAAGCTTCCCTGAAGAGATGAGTCTTAAGGGTTTGCCTATTATTAATGTTGCCAGTTTGACAGATTGGAAAGAACTACAAGAAAGGGCAGAATTCACTTCTTTAGGTCTTCCTTGTGCAATCACAGCAGATTTTTTTTTTAGAGCACCAATTTGTAGCACCTTCAGAATCTCTCTCCTTAAGGACCCATTTAAAAATCTTCCACCCAGCTATATGCTGAGCAAATGCCGTTCACACGGCTTCCCGCAACTAGATGGAGCCGAGGAGCGTAGGAAATGCTATGTTCATGAGCTCCATCTAGTGGCCATTTTGTTTGTGCGGGAATGCCATTCGCAGAGCATCCCTGCCGCTAGATGGAGCAGAGGAAATTTATATTGCAATTATGTGTAAAATAATGTGTCAGCAGCAGTGAAAGTGAATCCTATAATCACTCTCTGTCTTGAGATTTCAGAGAGTGATTATAGGGTAGGAAATTCTATCCTCCGTGGCTCCATCACATGGCGGGAATGCTGTGTGAACATTTATGAATCAGCCCCTTGGTGGTTGTTTCCAGGAAAATACATTGCAGTCAATAGCTACAGAATCAGCAGTCATAGTAGCTGCTCCTATTATCCAGTCCAGCTACCGATGACCCTGGCACACCAGTAATTTGTAGCTGGATAGATAATCACCTACATCAGAGACAATGTATCCAGCTACATATCACCAGTGAGATACATCACTGCTACAGTCCTCTGCTACAAAGTTGCTAGTGTGACATGACCTTAGTCTCTCTCTTCCTGCCTAATTCTTTCCCACGCTTCTGAACAATGAAGAGTTAAGTTAACCCTCACTTAAAGGAGAACTATGGGGGGTCAGTGTTTTTCCCCATAGTTCTCCTTAGGGTAATGGGAGGACACAAACTAGTGTCCTCCCGTTACCCTAAGCTCAGTATACCGCGAGCTACAGCTCACGGTATACTGAGACGCCGCAGCCGGAGCGGATCCCGACATCGATGTCGAGATCCGCCCAGCTGCGTGAGTGACAGCTGGCTCTGCCTATCTAGAGGCAGAGCCAGCTGTGCCCGCCCCCTCCCCCGTCCGTTCCGCCAGTCAGCGCTGGCGGATCGGAGTGGGGAGGGGGGAATCCAGCCCCTCCCCTGTCACGGCAGAGAGCGGTGACAGGATCGAGAGGTGAGCGAACGCCGGTATGTGTTCGCTCACCTCCCGATCTACTGAGCCGACCTGTGACAGTCTCATTGTCACAGGTCGGCTAGAACTATGAGGTGAGTGAAAAGCACTCACCTCATAGTTCTCCTTTAATTCTCCTTCTGCTGCTTATTATCTTTAATTAAAGGAGAACTATGAGGGGGGGGAGGGGTGCTTTTCACTCACCTCATAGTTCTAGCCGACCTGTGACAATGAGACTGTCACAGGTCGGCTCAGTAGATCGGGAGGTGAGCGAACACATACTGGGTTCGCTCGCCTCTCGATCCTGTCACGGCTCTCTGCCGTGACAGGGGAGGGGCTGGATTCCCCCCTCCCCGCTCCGATCCGCCAGCGCTGACTGGCGGAACGAACGGGGGAGATAGGCAGAGCCAGCTGTCACTCACGCAGCTGGGCGGATCCCGTCAGCTAAGTCGTGATCCGCTCCGGCTGCGACGTCTCAGTATACCGTGAGCTGTAGCTCGCGATATACTGAGCTTAGGGTAACGGGAGGACGCTAGTTTGTGTCCTCCCGTTACCCTAAGGAGAACTATGGGGAAAAACACTGACCCCCCATAGTTCTCCTTTAAGCTTGGTTCCCCCTGTGTTTTCCTGCAGTTTTCCTGCATTATGTGCTGCATTGTTGGGTTTGGTGATCCAAAGAAATCTGAAGTAAAGCTGAGGTTGTCGTAGGCGGGGGGGTTACCATGTGTCAGAAACGCACCCAAAAAAAGTTACATGCATTTTGAAGCACTGCTATTGTTATCAATAGGGCTTACTATGCATGTTGATGCACTGATAAAAGAGACCTGCACTTTTTTGGCCAACACATGTCAACACAGTGCACAGATATGAGCTAGCAGCATTATAATCAGTTGCAAAGCTCAGGGCCAGATTAACATAGCGCCAGCTCCAAGACCACCACTGAAAATAGTCCCGGCCAGCCCGGACCACCTTGGTTATGCCCAATGGCAATCTGGGCCGGCCAGGCTGAACACAATTAAGCAGAGGCACCAGCGGCTCTCTAATCACCGAGGAGGCCCCAGGAGCGAGCAGCCGCCTAATTGGAGAGCCGCCTCTGCTGCTTATTATCTGACCAACCAACAGCACCAGGCCCATGATGCTCCTAATCCGGCCCCGGCAGAGCTGTGTGCATGCGTTGAGGTGCTTTCAGTAATGGATGTTAAAGCACAGGTGTGAAAAGGGCCTTGCTCTGCATTCGTGTGTTTGCATTAACGTGTATTATGCTGCATGTTGATGTGCATTGCATTAAAGCAGCCCGTTCATGGGAAAAGGCTGCCTAAGGTGCCAAAACGCACCATAAAAGGTGCCTGGACTATTTTCTATAACTTAACCCCTTCGTGACTGACGACGTACAGTGTACGTCGCCAGCATCGGGGCTGTTTAAACAGACTCCCGGCGACTTTTGCCGCCGGGACTCTGTTTAAACTTGTAGAGCCGACTGTCGGCTTTACAACAGAAGCGATCCTGGCGACTTACCTGTCGCCAAATCGCTTCTGCGTCCCGAAGAA